TGAAAAGCTGATGTTGGATATGAAGCAGCATAGGAAAATGGAAACTGACTCTGGAGGGTGGGGGTGAGGAAAGCAGGAAGGTGTTTTCCTTGGCAGGTAGGGAAGGCCTCTCCAGTGAGATGAAAGTGGAGCAGAGCCCTGAACCCGGTGAGGGAGGCCACCAGGCAGAGGGAACAGCTGATGCAAAGAACGTGGGGAGCGAGGCATGCCCTTAGGAGCAAGGAGCAGCAGGTGCGGGAGGAGCGGGGAGCAGGTGGAGTGCTAGGAGGTGAGGTTAGAAAGGCAGCCAGGGGCAGGGTGATCAGGCCTTTAAGGGGCATGGATTGAATTCTAAAATAGGATAGGAAGCCATTGAAGGATAGATAGAGAGTGATGGCACAGGTTTACATTTTAAAAAGCCTCTTCTAGATGCTGAGTGATGGGGGCTAGAGGTAGAAGCAAGGACACTCGTTAGGAGGCTATTGCAGGAAGCAGTGTGTGAAGATGAATGTGAAAGTGGTGGCAGGGAAAATGGGGGCAGGAACCTGGATACCCTCATTTCCCGTCTCTGAAAATACCCTAAATCCTCTTCTCAATTTCCTCTCCTCATTGTGTTCCTACTGACTCCCACCCCCACTTCTCTCTCACCTGTCTTCTTGCCTGTCCCCTACTCGTGACTCGGATACAATTCCCTCAGCTCCTGCCCCTTACTGCACCTGCTACTCTATTCCTAACTTTCCAACATCACTTTTTCCTGGGTAACTATGTGGGCAGGGCCTCTGGGTGACCCCACATTCTCTCACTCAGGTGGTTGTGGCAACAAACATCGCCGAGACATCGCTCACCATTGAGGGCATCATTTACGTGCTGGACCCAGGGTTCTGTAAGCAGAAGAGCTACAACCCCCGCACAGGCATGGAATCACTCACAGTCACACCCTGCAGCAAGGTAGGCCTGGATCTCCATGGGGCTGGCGGGAGGTGGAACTGTCCCAACACGGAAGGTCCAACTCGGAAGCGGGATGGGGGCTTCTTAGGAGACGATGGATAAGCAGTTCGCATCCTCCCAGAGTTCTTGCATAAGAACTTTACTGCCCTTTCTCTTTTCCCTGACCAAATTGTCAGCCAGCCTACTCTCCTGTCTCCCAGGCCTCAGCCAATCAGCGAGCTGGCCGGGCAGGTCGGGTGGCTGCAGGGAAGTGCTTCCGCCTGTATACTGCCTGGGCCTATCAGCATGAACTCGAGGAAACCACGGTGCCTGAGATCCAGAGGACCAGCCTGGGCAATGTCGTGTTGCTGCTCAAGAGCTTAGGTGTTTGGGCTATCTGAGTCCTCCTGAGAGAGCAGGGAGGTGGGCCTGGTCCTTGTAAAGGGGCTCTATTTTATCCCTACACTTTTCTCTAGGGATCCATGACCTAATGCACTTTGATTTCCTGGATCCTCCTCCATATGAGACCCTGCTGTTGGCTTTGGAGCAGCTGTATGCTTTGGGAGCCCTCAACCACCTTGGGGAGCTCACCACGGTGAGGTGGGGGTACAGCATGGGCCAGGGCAGGTTGATGGGGTCAGGGTAGCTCCAGGGTGGAGGGAAACCCAAAGGAGGACTGGCTTCAACTTTCTCTCTCTTCTCTCCTTAGTCTGGTCGAAAGATGGCAGAGCTGCCCGTGGACCCCATGCTGTCCAAAATGATCTTGGCCTCTGAGAAGTAAGCCCTCCCACCCCTCCTGGGCCCCCAGCACACACACTGCATCCTCTGTCTCTGCGGCCATCTTTATCTCTTTCTCTTTTTCTCTCCATATTACTCTTTAACAAAAAATAAGTTATTAGAGAACTCTGATTGCCCCCCTTTGAGGCCCACAAGGTTCAATGAGACACTCGATCTATCCTTTTTTTTTTTTTTTTGAGACAGAGTCTCTGTAGCCTGGGCTAGAGTGCTATGGCGTCAGCCTAGCTCACAGCAACCTCAAACTCCTGGGCTCCAGCCATCCTCCTGCTTCAGCCTCCAGAGTAGCTGGGACTACAGGCATGCGCCACTATGCCTGGCTAATTTTTTCTATATATTTTTTTTAGTCGGCCAATTAATGTCTTTCTATTGTTAGTAGAGACGGAGTCTCGCTCTTGCTCAGGCTGGTCTCAAACTCCTGGGCTCAAATGATCCTCCCGCCTTGGCCTCCCAGAGAGCTAGGATTACAGGCGTGAGCCACCGTGCCCGGCCTCAATCCTAGTCTTAATGTTATTAAATGGGCAAGATTTATAAACAGAGCAAAATGAATGAAAGTGGATGATTTGCCATATGGGAGGGTTGCTGAGTTAGGAACCTTACTCATTCCTAAGGTTTCAGACTAGAACATTTAGATGTAACTGTGGAGGGACCACCTTTTGATGCCATTCCTCTGCTGTGGTTGAGGTCAGAGATCTCCTGATGCACTCAGTACACACCTTCCTATGGCAGAGCTCTCAGAAGTCCCCAGTGCTTCCTCCCCATCTCCATAGATGTCTTTCCTGTGTAACTGTTCCATCTACAGCCCCCACTCCTGTGACCTCCAAGCTGCTGCTGCCACCTAAATCTATCTTCTGGCTAATTTGTAGCCACTGTGTCAACTGGCCTTCCCCACATGAGGGAACATCACACAGTGATCACTGTTCCCCACCGTGTCTGTCTTACATGTCTTGCTTTCAACTTTCATGCTTTTCCCTTCCTGTCCTAGGTACAGCTGTTCAGAGGAGATCCTGACAGTGGCTGCCATGCTGTCTGTCAACAACTCCATCTTCTACCGACCCAAGGACAAGGTTGTCCATGCAGACAATGCTCGTGTCAACTTCTTCCTCCCTGGTGGTGACCACCTGGTTCTGCTAAACGTTTACACACAGGTCATTAGGCTTGGGTGAGTGGGAATGAGGGAGACTTGGGGTACTTTAGTGCTACTTATACTTAACCCCAACTTTCTTTTTAACCCTCTTCACAGTGGGCTGAGAGTGGTTACTCTTCACAGTGGTGCTACGAGAACTTTGTGCAGTTCAGATCCATGCGCCGAGCCCGGGATGTGCGGGAACAGCTGGAGGGGCTCTTGGAACGTGTGGAAGTTGGTCTCAGTTCCTGCCAGGGGGACTATATCCGTGTACGCAAGGTCAGCATTTCTTCAGTCTGTTGCTCTCCACTCAGTACCTCCCGAGGAGCAAGCTTCTCTGGGGTCTTGCAGCAGTTCCTCCAGCCTGAAAACATACCCTCGTCCCCTATGTAGGATGTGTTCTCCCAGGGCTTGCTCTTCTCCAGACCACTGAAGGTGTATTCTCAGTGGGTTCTTCATGCTTTCCTCACCTCTCCAGTTCTCCAGAAGCCTGAACTAAAAAGATAGTGAGCACTGAGGTCCCCAGATGTGTGCCTTTCCCATTGATTGTCTTTTCTGCCTGCTCCTTAGGCCATCACTGCTGGTTACTTTTACCACACAGCACGGCTGACTCGTAGTGGCTACCGAACAGTGAAACAGCAGCAGACAGTGTTCATTCATCCCAACTCCTCCCTCTTTGAGCAACAGCCACGCTGGCTGCTTTACCACGAACTTGTCTTGACCACCAAAGAGTTCATGAGACAGGTGAGGAGACCATCCCCTGCTCAGGCAGGTGGTTACATGGGGAGATGTGTGCTGGCAGGCTCAGAACCCAGTTTCAGGTTGCTGGGACTGGCACAGAAAAAGGGAAATACATTAGTTTAAGGTAGGATAAAATAGAAAGGCATCCTTTCTAACAGCTGTCTCAGCATCTTTCAAGATCTGAAAACTGGCCAGGCGCGGTGGCTCACGCCTGTAATCCTAGCACTCTGGGAGGCCGAGGTGGGCGGATTGCTCGAGGTCAGGAGTTCGAAACCAGCCTGAGCAAGAGCGAGACCCCGTCTCTAGTATAAATAGAAAGAAATTAATTGACCAAATAACATATATAGAAAAAATTAGCCGGGCATGGTGGCGCATGCCTGTAGTCCCAGCCACTGGGAGGCTGAGGCAGGATTGCTTGAGCCCAGGAGTTTGAGGTTGCTGTGAGCTAGGCTGACGCCACGGCACTCATTCTAGCCTGGGCAACAAAGCGAGACTCTGTCTCAAAAAAAAAAAAAAAAAAAATCTGAGAACTCTATATTTCGTTCAATAAATATCTGAATGCCTACTGTCTCAATGTTTTAAGTGCTAGGGTTATAATGGTGAACAAAGCAGAGAGAGTGTACTTTAATCTTTCCATTCCAGGTTTTTCTTTTCTTTTTTTTCTGAGACAAAGTCTCACTTTGTTGCCCAGGCTAGTGTGCCATGGCGTCAGCCTAGCTCACAGCAACCTCAAACTCCTGGGCTCAAGCAATCCTCCTGCCTTAGCCTCCCGAGTAGCTGGGACTACAGGCACGTGCCATCATGCCCGGCTGATTTTTTTCTATATATATTAGTTGGCCTATTAATTTCTTTCTATTTATAGTAGAGACAGGGTCTTGCTCTTGCTCAGGCTGGTTTCAAACTCTTGACCTTGAGCAATCCGCCTGCCTCAGCCTCCCAGAGTGCTAGGATTACAGGCGTGAGCCACTGTGCCTGGCCCATTCCAGGTTTTTCTTGGGGATAGGTTACTTGGGATCTTGAATAATATACAGAGGTGTGTCTGCCTTTGGGCATATAATAGAGTCAGGTACCTCTTGCCCAGCCCTGCAGTCAGAGGGGAAAAACTTTTAACCACACAAATATGGGTTGGAAAGAAGGGAACCCTACTGATCTTTTCTCTCTCCTTCTAGGTATTGGAGATTGAGAGCAGTTGGCTTCTGGAGGTGGCTCCCCATTATTATAAGGCCAAGGAGCTAGAAGATCCTCATTCTAAGAAAATGCCAAAAAAAATAGGCAAGACCCGGGAAGAGCTGGGGTAAGAGATGGGGATATAAGTGGAACCAGACACCAGCTCCTTTTCTGTCCATACATTTAATATCTAGTAAATAAAATTATTTTTGGAATAAAGCTTGTGAGAACTTAAGGGATACAGAGAAAGTGACATGAAATTCTGTCTCATATGATCACTTAAACTTTATTATTTACAACAAGTTAAATTACACAGCAGCTTTACACAGCATAAGATGGAAAGAAAGGAAGGAGAGAGAAGAGGAGAGGAAGCTGGCTCCTGACATTCTTGACCGCCTCCACCTCCTTCTCTTGTGCGTAGCATAGTCTTCAGTGCTGCCTCCACTCCAAGGCCAAAGATTAGGCCTTGGAACACAGGTGTAAGTTGGGTTCTGGCTCTGACAACCCCAAGGCCACTAGGGCTCCCACTAGCAGCTTCTTCACGGGCGTTGGAGGTGAGTGTGAAGGCATCAGCTGCAGGGAGAGAGGTTAATGCCAGTTGAGGGGGAGCATACAGATATTCTACCCTTCAACCCACCCAGCCCTACTTAGGACTCACTTTGTCTAGGCGATGGCGACAAATCAGGCCACTGGAATTCAGGTAGAAGGTAGAATAGGCATCATAGGTCCTGGAAAAGGGAGAGGCTTACTGAGGGAAAAGGTGACTGGTCCGAAAGCTTAATTCAAACTTTTGTTTAAACTAGTAGTTCTAAACTTTGCTACATATTAGATCACCTGGGGAGCTTTTAAAAATTTCAGTGCTCAGGTTGTGCCTTGTCACAATTAAATCAGAATGTCAGGCACCAATATATTTTGTTTGTTTGTTTTTTGTTGTTGTTTTTTTATTTCAGCATATTATGGGGGTACAGATTTTAAGGTTTCAATAAATGCCCATTCCCCCCCCTCCCCCGGCACCAATATTTTTTAAAGATCCTTAGGTGATTCCACTGTGCAGCAAAGTTTGGGAACTGCTGGTTTAAATCCTTATATATGATGTTTGAGGACAAGCCAAACAATTTCTTAAGATTCTACTCCCAGGCAAAAATTTACCAGGTTGGGAGGCTTAACTTATGAGACAGGAATTTTCATTTGTTGCGTAAGTATTTGAGTACCTACCATGTGTCAGGTACTGTATATGTAGAAACTGAAGATCAGAGGTTTCCTAATATACTTAATGTCCCTATTATTTTTATAATATTAATGTAAATTACATTAAAATAAGATCCCTGTCCTCAAGCACTTCTTTTTTTTTTTAAATAAGCACTTTTATTGTTCTCCATGCTATACTACACAAGCAATCACTCATTTGAAACATGCTTACATTCCTCTGTCTTTGTAGTATTCTGGAGTGTCCTACAATATAACATCCTTATATAAGGGGACTTCTTAAAACTGGCCATCTTTTGAGATTGATGAATGAATAAAGACTGGTGAGAGGCTAAGGGAAAGAGATCAGGCAGCTGGTAGCAACTAGAGTGCTGTAATTTTTTTTTTTTTTTTTTTGAGACAGAGTCTCACTCTGTAGCCTGGGTTAAAGTGCCATGGCATCAGCCTAGCTCACAGCAACCTCAAACTCCTGGGCTCAAGCAATCCTCCTGCCTCAGCCTCCCGAGTAGCTGGGACTACAGGCACGTGCTACCACGACTGGCTAAATTTTTCTCTATATATTTTTAGTTGTCCAGCTAATTTATTTCTATTTTTAGTAGAGACGGAGTCTCGCTCCTGCTCAGGCTGGTCTCGAACTCCTGAGCTCAAACAATCCTCCCGCCTTGGCCTCCCAGAGTGCTAGGATTACAGGCGTGAGCCACCAGCCTGGCCTCTCACTTCTTTCTTACCGGTAAAGCTCATCCTTGTCACGCCTATAGAAACGCAGAAAGAGCATGTGGATGGGCAGCCCTACGAGCCGCCAGCGGGCTTGCAGGGTCCAGTTCTCCGGGTGGCGGGTCAGCTGTAGAATCTCCAAACGAAGTTGTGCAAAATAGTTCCAGGCCAGGAAACGGCAGAGGGTCAGCGACAGAATGTACCATGTCCGGCCCCTGAGAAGAAGGGATGGGAAAGAAATCTCAAGATGGCAGAATCAGAAAACCAAACTGGCTTCTGTCCAAGGAATGAGGAACAGTTATGAGAAGTAGCCTGTGACCTTCTCCAGGGCAAGTGTATAGTATTGGGCCCTTTTCTCCCCAAGACCCTACCCATGCCCCAATTCTCACTTGGTACGAATGTTCAAGATCTCATTGATGAATTCCACATCCAAGGAATAGAGAGTGTAGTCGTGGGAGTAAAGGAAAAGGTTGGGAAGCTAGGTGGAAGAAGAAGGCATAAAGTCAGTGGGGAAAAAAAGATGATCTATTTCTCAGTTTTCTATTTTTAAGGCCAAGTTAACTCCCTTCTGAGTTAAAAGTTATTTTATCCCATGTTTAACCTCCCTTAACCCAAACTGAGGAGTACTATTTCCTCAGGAAAATGTTTATAACATTTCTGTGCCTGTCTCAAGGTTCTAAAAAAGAATCCAGTTGACTAAGCCCCTATTTCTAAGGATGACCCACATTCCTTTCCACTGTAGACAAAGGCCACTTTTGTAATGACTTACTTCTTGTCTCAGTCTCTCATACATGACAGCGAGGTGTTCCTCCATACTAGGATCTCCTGATGGGGTGGCAGGGGAAGGGTGGGCAGTTCCAGGGGCTTTGAAAGGTATCAAAGCCCCAGGATAGGGGCAGGGAGGTCCCTCAAAAAGGCTCCTAAGCCCATCTAGGCAGCCAGTGTGCAACTCAGGTCCTGGTCCATTCTCCCCCTTTCCTGGAAGGAGAACCACCCATGGTGAGCTGAGGGCCTGGACCTGTGGGAGAGGTAGTATGGGAGCCGGGGGAAGTCGCAGGCTGGGAGGGCACAGGGGTGGGGGAGACCAGAGAAGAAGAGGAGATGGGGAAGTGGTTGTCGTGGAGTGAGGCCAAAGGAGCGGGAATGGTAGAGTCCGTGGAGAAAGCTGGTCCTAAGGAGGGAGAAAAGGGAAAAAGATAAGAATCCAGATGCCTAATGACCCTACATCCCTTGGATGCTCATCAACAGGCTCCCAATCCCACCTACTCCTGACTGGAGAGATGGAATTACTAGAGGGGAAAAAGGAATGGATTCACCTCCATTGCTACTGAAAACAAGAGGAAACAGTTTTATATGACAAAAGTACCAGTACCTCCCCCAAATACTAGCAAACACTTATACATTTGTTTACAATTCCAACACTGGGGGCAGTTTCACCCCTCTTACAGCAAAAATCATATAAGAATACATATGTAATTAATGAACTAATGAATAACTGGTCTTGCTGTGGGCAAAATGTGGCCTATAATCACAATTAAGTGTGAGGCAAATGTACAGAGAAAAGAATATGCAGTTGAAGCTAGGAATTCGAGTTCCAATTCTGTCCCATAACCTTAGGCACTCGAATTCCCTATGTCTCACTTTTCTATAAATGAGGGCTGTATGAGGCAATGAATGTAAATAAAACGTAGCGACCTGTAAAGTGGAACATAAATGGAAGCAATTATCATTTCGGGCTCCTCTAATGACAGGCACAACCCCAGGAGACTATTAAAGGTTGGACCTCATTCTCCCTGGTTTACCGACGTTGAAACTGCGAGGAGGGGAGGTCACCCAAAGTCAGGCCTGACCCAACCCCTCAGCTCCCAAGGAACCCCCGGGGGGTCTCACTCGGGGGAGGGCCGGCGGGCCGCTCGGGTACCTCGGTCCCCGACGGTGTCCCAGGGGCGCCATCTCTGCTGGGGGCTTGGCCATCTTGCCAGCCCAGGCGCAGGGGCCCGAACCGGGTCCTCTCGGGCCGGCCCTCCTGCCAGGACCGCTCGCCCGGTGCAGGATGCACGCGCTGCGGAGCACGGCCTGTGGGTCTGGTCTGGGCTGGGGAACTCCCGGGCAGCGCCGAGGCCGGGCTGCGAATCTCTCCGTCCCTGCCCTTCAAATCACCTCCAGGCACAGGTAACGCAGAGACCAGGGTGCAACACGGACGCGCCCCGCGGCCCCGGCCTGGACCCCGCCTGCCCGCCTTCAAACCTGGGAGAACCGCGCGCCAGGCCGGGCAGCGCCGCCTTCCCGCCCCCGCCGACCCCTAGCCAGCCCATGCGCCGGGAGGTACAGGTGCGCAGGGGCGGTGGGGTGTCACTGCGCCTGCGCGGAAGCCGGCGCGCGCTCCGCCCCACGCAGCGGCTCTGAGGAGGGTCTCTCCCCGCCCCCTCCCGCTCTGCGCTCACCTGGGGTCGAGCCTGGTAGGCCCGGAGGCAGGGGCCGAGACGCCGAGCCGCCCCCCGGCTGGGCTGGTACATGATCTTCCAGGAGTAGAGAACGCCTCCCGAGTCCGGCCTCCGGCCTCCGGCCTCCTCAGAGGAGTGAGCGCGCCCCGGAGCCCGCTTCGTGAAGGGGAAAGGAGGGGGGATAAGGGGCTGAGGGGAGGGAAACGGAGATGTTGCGCGCTTGCGCACTGCGGGCTCCAGGAGCCTGCTGAGGCGCTCGGTCTGGCGTAAGTGCGCCTGCGCATGCCGGAGCGAAGGCTGCCTCACAGCGCTTGCGCAGTAAATTAGCACCCCAAACACCGCGCTCGCACCTGAGGCATTTCCGCAAAAAGCTGAGCGAAGATGGGGCTGAACCGGGTGCACCGAGAGTGAGGGGTGGGTGGAATTGAAATAATGACAGTCGAACTTTTCAATAGCTCTCGTGATAAAAATAAATACTTTTATTGGGCTGGCTAAAAGTAAGATACAAATGATTTGAAGCTGATAAGAAAGCCTGTTGAATGAATGAATGAATGAACCCATCCATTGTGAGGGTTGGACTTTGACACTTTCCTGTGGTGGGGGAGAAATAATACTGACTTTGAAGGTGTGAGAAGGGGTTGTGGTCACCAAGGCCTGGTGCTGCGACGTTCGTGCAGGTTTCGAATGAACCTGGCGTTGAACATGTCCCCACCCACTGACCAGGACTGGGCTGGTGGGGCCTGGGACTGTGGAGGAACTGTGCACGTGGGCTTCTCTCTAGACCCATCCTGTGACATGACCTGATCCGCACTGGCAGACCTGGTAAGTGGGGAGATGGAGAGTGGGTTACAGGGCACTAAAGTGGGAATTAAGATTGAAGACTCTTCAAAGTCTTAGATGCCAAGTTTTAATGTAGAGGACACATGATGATATGAGGTGGAACCATTCGTGCTATACCCAAATTTAAAACCCCTCAGAGAATGCCAAAGGAAGTACCAGAGCTGACCCTATGGGGAAAGAGGCTTGCAGAATGTTAGGTAGAAGGATTTATGGGAGGAGCTGGTGTCCAGTTCATAGAGCAAGATTTAGGAGGAGGAGGAGGAAGTGGCTGAGACTGATGTTAGGAAAGAAGTCAAGGTGGTGGGAGGCTGTTAAGGAAGGGGTTTAGACCTCACCTATTCTCTGTTTCCTGTTCCCCCTGCTTCGAATCTTGGTTGCCTATGGAAATACCAGGCATGTTCATGGGAAGGCTGGAGGAGACAGTGAATGTGGCCTATTTGATTTGAGGGGAAGGAGGAGTGAATACTTACCTGCACTGGGAGATGAGGAATTCAACCCCCCATGGCGGCTGTAGCAGCACCTTTGGGCCACCAGCCCTGGGGGAGTCCCCCTGTAGAAGAAATGGGAGATGATGGGGAAGAGGCTACAGGATGAAAGATGGGTGAGTATGGAGGAATCAGAGGAGAGGAACAGGGCAGGAACAGAGAGAAGGGGACAAGGAGCTCATTATATACCCGAAGATTTTCTGGAGCAGTCCTGATTTGTTGCTTTATTCTTTCTGGCTGAGGTAAGGTGTTCAATGTATGGCTAAATGTGACCCAAATCTTAAGAACAGAGTCATATATAGGCAAAAAAGAATTTGTAGGACCAGGTACCCTGATATTTGGCTCAGAAAACATGGTTACCTCAAGTATAAGATACCTCAGACCAGAGGGATATAGGGAGTTACAAGGCTGAATTTAGGAGGAAAAGGAAAGTAGCCTCAGGAACAGGGTGCCAGACTGTGTTGGACTCTCAGTGGAGGTAGGGGAGAGAGATCCAAGGGTGAAGTGGGACACACATCAGGAAATCACATACTGGGAAGAGGAATCCAGAGATGTTGGTCAGTCTTGACAACTGACCTCAGAAAGGGGCTGGCCTGGGGTAAAGGGTAGAAGTCACTAGGGAGAACTAGAGGTTCTTGGAGGGAATGGGGAGTAGGTAGAGAAGCCTAGACAGAGGGATACAGCAACTACATAAGAGGAGACCCAAGACTCCACAGAAGAACCAGCAATGAAGATGGGGATGGCCAGAAACCAGATCCTGGAAGGGGAGCTCTGAGGCTCCTTGGTAAAAGATCTGCAGACCTCAGAAGTGAAGAAAATGAGATGGATATTAGTCCTGAGATCCCAGGAAAATACAGGGTAATGCATAAATGAGGCTGACACCTTAAGGTGGTTTTTTTGTGTGTAGTTCTTTTTTTTTCCCCATTGAAAATGTCAATTTAGAAAACACAAAAGAATTCACACTTTATTCAGACAACACTAAGTGGAAGAATATGGAGGAGTGAGTTGGGGGTGGGGGGAGATCCGGCTCCCAAGGGTTTGAGGGAATACAGTAGGGTACCTGATCTACCATACGGTCAGAGGGTAGGAAGGGGGAACATCTAGCTACACCCTGGGCATGGAGCAGGGAAGGAGGTTCTTGCTACAGAGGAAAGAAGAGAGAAAGGCCAGATTCGGAAGCATGGTCTCCCATCTCAAGACAGTCTCAAGACACAAATATATTAGCATCTAACTTCCAGGGAAGGACGGGTGTGAGAAGGGATTCTAGGATCTAATAGATCCTTGACTCATTTTCTGAAAAATGGCTAAGAGTGGTCCTGGGGTTTTTGCTGGGATCTACTGCCAAAAAACAAAGTGCCTCGGAGACTCTGGATCTGGAGGAAGTGGTGGTGTCAGCCAGTCTCCTTTAGAGATCCCAAAGAAGCATCGATTTGGGGTTCCCTGACACACAAAACAAGTGGAAATTAAGAGTCTGGCAACGTTGAGTGGATCCCTTTGGGGAGCTGGTAAGTCCCTGTCCTACGTAACTGGACTGCTCTGAAGCAGAGCTCACTCGTTGCTGGCATTAGCAGGCTCAAACGGCAAATGTGGCAGGCAGCACAAAGCAGCATTCGAGCCACCAGCAGACACTGTAGGGGAAACATGGGGTTTATTTCATGGATGAGACTCCTTAAAAGGTTGCCCTCGCAGAGGAAGCCCTTGGACCTTCCATGGTATTCTAGAGTGACAGCAAGCAAGAATGCTTCTCTAGAAAATTAGTATGAGCCACCCAACCAAGGGGGCTGGCAACGGATCAGGCTGTCTGTGGGGAGAGTATTCAGAGCCCAAGTTAAGTGAGGAGGGGTGATTTTGTGGTAAGAAAAGCTACAAAGTGTTAGGCCATTTGGGACCCTGACAACCCAGTTGTCCAAAAAAGGGGGAAGAGGGAATCCTATGAGCTCTGTTAGTTTCCACTGGGTCCTAAAGAATGCAATAGAAGAAGGGATCTGAGGTTCTCAGGAAGGGGGGTCTCGTAGAGAGGGGAGAGGTGGCAGTCAGTATCGACTCTCATCAGAGCGGGGAAGGGAGCTGTGGAAGGATGTTATGGATGGGAGGAAGGGAGAGGGAAAATGGGGGAGAGAGAAAAACAGAGAAGTCAGAGGTGAGAAGAAAGCCAGGGAAAGAAAGAAAGGAGATGCCCACTCCCTGCTGCTGAGATGGGCTCTTGGTTCACAAGGCACTAACAAACTGTCAGAGACACTTCCCCTAGCAAATGTTAAGCCAAGACTTCCCCAGTCTTAGAAGGCACATCCCCCACCCAGTGGATCGCTGTGTTCTTCCTGTCCTTCCACTCTAATCTCACATTAAAACTAGGGTCCCTAGGCTCCATATAAAGTTTTGTTCTGCTCCTTCACTGTAATTTCTTTCCAGATCACATCCATGAATATTTTTCTTGAAAGGGTTCAGGACTCCTCCATCCACTATCTTGCTGTTGCCATCCACATCTCTGATGGATTCAAATTGCCATTTGCCATTTCTAACATCCTCTCTGACACACCTGAGGCTCCCTAACCCTCCACCCCATTACCTGGTGCGGCGACGTTGGGCTGAGCTGCCCCCAGGGTCAGCAGCCAGCAGAAGGCGGGCAGTGGGGTGTGGGGGGCAGAGGCGAAGGGAACGCAGCAGCTCCTGCTCTGGCACGAAGGGGCGGAGGGGACCCCGTTCTGGTGAGTTTCCCAGGCTGCTGGAGCGAGGGGGTGGGTGAGCTGGAGGGGTGGCACGACGAGGGGCTCTATTTAGGGGCCAAGGAGGCTCCACAGCTACTTTCAGAACTGGGGAGAGAGAATGAAGAGCAAGACAGAGAAGAAGAAGATGGAGAAGGAAGGAAGAGATAGAGTCATGACAGCAAAGATTGGGGTAGCAAAAAGAGAAATCAGCCTTTGGAGAGAAGGAATCCTTGCCCTGCATCCCCCCAAGCATTCTCCTCCTTTGAGTTAAGGTCCCCACACCCATTCACCCTACCCCAGCCCTTCTTACATTCTCGATCACTAGAGGAGTATGGCTTGATGTCTCCCTCTGCTCTCTTGGGTGGCAGCTTCCTTGGTGGAGCTAGTGGGGGAGGGGACGCAGGCAAGGCAAGCATTAGGAGACATACTTTGCACCCCTCCTCCCAGCCGCTACCCCCACGACCCCAAACCTCTGCTCACTGACACCACAGTTCCTGCCATGGTCGAAGCAGCGCCATGGCAATGCCAGCACACCAAAAGGGGCCGTGGGGGGAATGCTGGAGCACTTTTGAGGAGAGTCAGAAGGAGCAGGCCAAACACAGAGTTATGGGAGAGAGATCCAAGGGGAGACTCTGGGGCCTGGGAAGGCAAGGAGGGCAGCCAGGGGTGTGAGGTCTTACTGTCAGTGCGTGCTGTCAGGCCCCCCTGGGGTTCTGGGGCAGTGCAAGGGTCCCAGCCGGGCCAACGAGGACCCCGGGTTCCTCAAGATGAGATGGACAAAGCCCTTGGTTAAGCAGGAATTGCTCTGGAGAGGTTAGGGGAGGCTGTGGTGGGGCAGAACCTCTCCTTCCTCTGCAAAGATGGGAAGAGACTGAAGTTTGATTAGGTTAAAAAAAAAAAGGGTGAGGAGAAAATGTGGACATCTGAAAAAGGGCTGCTAGAATAAATGGGAGGCCGGCATACCCCCCTGTCTCCACTTCTCCACTTGCTCGCCCTCTTTCCCTCGCCAGAGTTTCTCCCTCCCCGGCGCACCTGCTTCACCCACAGTGCCCGCCGCCCCCCGCCCCTGCAGGTCTGCAGGTCGGCGGGAGCTGGCCGGGAGAGGCCTGGAAACCAAGCGAGTTGTGGACGCAAAGGGCCTCTCCAAGCCTGACATGGTGATGCCAGTAACTGGAACAGACTGTTCTTTGGGTGGTGGCCAATGACCCCCTTTCCTACCACAGGGAAAGCTGAAGCTAGCCCAAAAGCCAGCTCAGGAGGGGCTCTGTGCCACTCCACCTCTGTGAGGTGACTGCAGTGAGGAAGAGGAAGAGTAGGGCTCAGACTCGGGGGGAGGAGTGTGTGTGAGTGTGTGTGTGTGAGAGGGTGTGGGATGGGGAACCTGAGCAGCATTTTAGTGCTTTCTAGGTTTGGTTTCCCCAAATCAAGTTCATCATTTTGTTGGAAGTTTTATAAATTCCGAGTGTTATCTTCTAAAACTAATATTTAAACTTTGGGCCATTCATGTCACTATGCTATGACATGCAAATGGAAGGGCTGTCTGTACTTGCCTGTCCCTCACGGTTGACAGAAAACTCGGGAATTAAAAAGGAACGTGACTCTGGCCTATCTTGATGGAACTGAACTATCAAGAGGCTCTGTGGACCTCGGCTGTCAGACAGGCCCTAACGAGCGTGGCGTGCTTACTGAAAGTCTTGCCAAGTATAAAATCCCCCGAGCTCCCATGAGGGCAAAGGCAAACAAGTACTACTGCTGGAGACTTGTGCTGCCTTAGAATTTTCCAGAATTCACTGGTAGCCCTGCACTCCTGGGGCCTCTAGAGCAACCAGTCAGCAGGGCAGTGCAGCAGGAATGCAGCTCCAGCCCGTCCGGGTGACTTTACCAGCGGGCGCGGGCTCGGCCGCAGCAGCACCGGAATGTCGAGTTGCCCTCAGAGAGGGAGCAGGGGGCCCTGTGAGGAAGGAAGCGGTCGTGCCCCTCAGTGAGGGGGCCAGTGGGACCAAAAGTCCACCTCTTTCCTTCCCCTCACTTCAATTGCACAATCAGTGCAAGGTAAAAAAACTTACGATGTTGATGGGCAAAGAAGCCTTCAAAGATCACAAAGTTGTTCACCTAGAAGATGAAACAAAATACAATCCTGCATCACTTAATGACGGGGATATGTTCTCAGAAATGTGGTGTTAGGCCATTGTGGGAACATCCTAGAGTGTACTCCCAGAAACCTAGATGGGCTAGCTTACTACACACCTAGGCTATATGGTTTTAGCCTATTGCTCCTGGGCTACAAGCCTGTACAGCACGTTACTACACTGAATACTGTAGGCAGCTGTAACACAAAGACAAATATTTATATATCTAAACATAGAAAAAGTATGGTAAAAATATGGTATTATAACTGGATGAACAAAATGCAGTATACCCATAAAATGGAATATTATTCAGCCATAAAAGGGAATGAAGTACTGATATATACCACAACATGGATGAACCCTAAAGGCATATGCTAAGTGAAAGAAGCCAGGAACAACAAAAGACCACATGTTGTATGATTTCACATATATGAACTATCTAAAATAAGCAAATTCAGCCAGGCGCGGTGACTCAGCCTGTAATCCTAGCACTCTGGGAGGCCAAGGCGAAAGGATTACTTGAGCTCAGGAGTTTGAGATCAGCCTGAGCAAGACCGAGACCCCGTCTCTACTAAAAATAGAAAACTTAACCAGGCATTGTGGCTTGCACCTGTAGTCCCAGCTGCTCAGGAGCCTGAGGCAGGAGGACGCTTGAACCCAGGACTTTGAGGTTGCTGTGAGCTACAATGATAATGACGCCACTGCATCAGAGCAAGACTCTGTCTCAAAAAATTAAGGAAGAAGGGGAACATGTATAACTGCTTAATGAGTAAGAGGGGATTTTTCAGTTGATAGAAATGTTCTGGTATTAGATAGTGGAAACACTGTGAATATACTAAAAACCAGTGTAGTTAAAATGGTTAAAATGGTGAATTTTATCTCAAAAAATAAAAACAAAAACCCAGACCCTGCTTTTAAAGTCTCCTAGGACTCAGGCTAATGGAGTCACGGTAAACAAAATGTCAGAAAAAGATGAGACATCCAAAATGTTCAAAACAAAACATTAACAAAGCTAACAGTTTAAGTATACAAATACTGAGAAAAATTAATTCAGCAGGGTTCAAATGGGTGGGGCTAGTCAAGGGGAAACGTGATGGAGGCCAGGATACTGCTTTGATAACTAGTAACTATTATTAATTTTAGAGTTAATTTATGATCATATTCAATTTGGCCTTCATAATATTTACTTATTTATGAGACAGGGTCTTGCTCTGTTGCCCAGGCTGGGGTGCAGTGGCACAGTCATAGCTCACTGCAGCCTTGAATTCCTGGGGTTCAAGTGATCCTGCCTCAGCTCCACGAGGTAGCTGGGACTACAGCAGCGCCGCTATGCCTGGCCTAATTTTTTCTATAATATATTTAGTTGGCCAATTATTTCTTTCTATTTAATGGGAGATGGGGTCTCCGCTCTTGCTCAGGCTGGTTTCAAACTCTTGACTTGAGCAATCGCCCCGCCTGGCCTCCCAGGAGTGCATGAGATTACAGGACGTAAGACACACGCACACGCCTAATTTTTAATTTTTTGTTAAGAGACAGGAATCTTGCTATGTCCCAGACTGGTCTTGAACTCCTGGCCTCAAGTGATCCTCCTGTCTTGGCCTTGAAAGTGCTGGGATTACAGATATGAGCCATGGTGCTCCAGACTTGATTCTTGCTGTGGTGTTTCTGCCAGGAATACAATGTAGGCCATGGGTTCAAATCCAGACTCCACCACTTATTAGCTACATGAACTGGTCAAGTCAATGGTTTTCATAAGCCCAAAATAGGGTTAAGAGTAGTACCTACCTCAAAGAGATGTACAAAGATCCACTGAGATGATGCATATATACCACACAGAGTTCAAGAAACGTCAAAGAGTTGACAAAACCACACAGAGCCATGAAACATTATTTGTTATTATTTACACCCTACACTTCTCTGGTCTTACATGTTAACTGGGTAATGTGTTTGATGTTAAATACCGTGAGTCTTCTACGCTCTGCTATTCCTTATGTTTTTGAGAGCAGAGTCTTCGCTTTGCTGCCAGGCTAAGAGTTGAAGTCCGTGGCGTCACCAGCTCAAAAGCAACCCAAACTCCCGGGCCTGCAAGCAAGTCTACTGCCGTTTCAGCCCGCCAGTAGCCTTGGGACTACAGGCGCACACCATGCGGACTTAATTTCTATATACATAGTTTGGCCAATTAATCCGTTTCTATTTACTAGTAAGCAGCATGGGGTTCTGCTTCTCGTGCTCAGGCCTGGTTTCGAACTCCTGACTCCGAGCAATCCCCCGCCTCGGCTCGCCGAGTGCAGGATTACAGGTGTCGGAGCCACCGCGCCTGGCGTTCTGCGTTTACTTCTTAAATGGGAAAAATGTACGTGGGAGGGAAGACCCAGCCTATCTCTTGCCCTTGACGCTACTGTTAACGTCGCCTACCGACCGCCCCATCCCCTAAGCAAGCACGTGCCCCAGCGCCCACGCCACACCCGGCACATGCTTCACAGTGCCTGAAAGCGGTTTTAAACGCAACCCTAGCTTTGCGTTACAACTGGTTCTCATCTACTGTGAATATCTTTACCCCAATTTTGTCCATCCTGAACAAACATGGTGCCTTTAAGACTAACATTACGGTACCTGTCTTTCCCATCCACCCAAGTAGCGACTCACCACGGGTTAGGCTCCTCTGTATCACCTACCCAATTTGTGTTCAAACGATTAGCATTCCAAGTTCCTATGCAAGGCTTAAACTTTGCACACATCTCAACCCGCCTGCCACTTCAAGCTGACAATTGCTCAGCATTGCCCCCACCCATTTCTCTGAACATCATTTCCCTCATCCTGAAGCACATTCTTATGTTGTTTTTCTCTTGTAGAGAACACTGGCCGGGCGAGGTGGCGGGCGGGACTGCTCGAGGTCAGGAAAGTATGAACCAGCCTGAACAAAGCGCAGACCGCGCCGTCTCTACGTATAAGGAGAGAAGAATTTGGGGCCAAACTAATACATAGAGAAAAATTAGCCGGGCCAGGTGGCACGATGCCTGTAGTCCGATACGTCGGAGGCTGAGGCAGAAGGATCGCTTGAGCCCAGGAGCTTGAGGTTCTGTGAGCTAGGCTTGACGCCACATGATCACTCTGAGCCTGGCAACAAAGCAAGACTCTTTCACAAAAAAAAAAAAGAATCAACTCTCTCTTGATCTACTTCTCCCTCTAGCTTTTGCTCTATTTCTTTTCCCCTTAAAGCAACCTTTAAAACAGTGGCTTATTCTTGCTGTTTCCAGTTCTGAGCTTCTCATTCTCCTAGCCCACTCCATCCAGGCATCCACCCACTGCTGCACTGAAACTGCTGGTCAAGATCACATGTGGCCTAAGGCAGCTAAATCCAATGGTCACTTCCCAAACCTTTTCTTAGCTCACTGATTAGCAGCGTTTGACCCAGTAAACCATTACTTCCTCCTGGAAACACTTTCTTCAGTGGCCTTCCAAGTCACCTTTCAGGTTTTAATTTATGTCACTAGGCACTCCTCGGTGGCATTTACTGGTTCCTCCTGCCTCTCTCACTTCTCCCCCCACCCCCGCTCCCTCGATGGACCAGCAGGCAAGAACTCCCTCATTTCTTAAAGAGGGCCCAAAGGCTCAAGTCCTTGAGACACTTCTCTATCTATACTCTTCCTTTGGTGATCTCATCCTGCCTGGTTGCTTTAAATACCACATGTGTGCTAAAAACTCTCCACAACAAACCTCCTCGCCGATCTCCAGGGACGGGCCCAACTACCTCCTCAACCTGGACATACCACAGACATCTCCAATGAACATACTTAAAATGTATTCCTAATATTTCCCTGAAAGCTGATCTACCACAATGTCAGCTAATGCAACTTCATCCTTCCAGCTGCTCAGGGTTTGGAGTCATTCTAAACTCTTTTTCTCCACATGCCATCTACCAGGACATCTTATTTGCTTTACTTTCAAAATGTTTAAAATCTGGCCACGCCTTACCATCTCTACTGCTACCACTTTGGTCTCAGCTGCCACCACTTTTCATCAGGAGTATCACTTCCTAACTAGCCTACTTGCTTCTACACTTGCTCCCCTACTGCCTGTTCTCAATACAGCAGCCAAACTGAGCTTATTAGAAAAAAACAGGATCATAGCCAAAGTGATCTTGTTCTTCACTTAGAGTAAAAGCCAAAGTCTCTGCAGTAGCCTAGAAGGCCCCAAATGTCCTTCTTTCCCCATTACTTTCTCTGATCTCATCTTCCATACTGTCCCCTCACTCATGATACCCTAGTCCCATCAGCCAATTCGCTCTTGTAGGGACACTCCTACCTCACGGCCTTTGCATTAGCCATTCTCTGCATCTAGGATGCTGTTCTTCCAGATATTATTAATACCTGGCTCTTATTCTCACTTCCTGTTGATTATTGCTCAAATGACACCTTCTCAGTGAGGCCTTCCCTGATTATCTCATTTCAACCTGCAATCTCACACTCTCCCATCCCCACCTTGGCACTCCCAAGTCCTTTTTACCTGGTCGCATTTTTCCAGAGCATTTTTAAATTTGAGATAGACTCTTTGGATAATGACATGCCCTGTTTAGTAAAGCAAAAAAATAAATATTAATAAAAAGAAAAAAACGAAAAAGAGACAGACTCTTGCTCTGTTGCCTGGGCTTGAGTGCTCTGGCGTCAGCCTAGCTCACAGCAACCTCAAATAAAATTCCTGGCTCAAGCGACCTCTGCCTCAGCCTCCAGAGTTGGGACTACAGCATAGCACCACAATGCCCGCTATTTCTCTCTCTCTCTCTAATATAACTATTATATCGTTAGACAGAGTCTTGCTTTGTTGCCAGCTAGAGTGAGTAACCATTCATCAGCCTAGCTCACAACACCTCAAATTCTGGGCTTCAAGCAATCCTTCTCTCAGCCTCCGAGTCTGAACTTACAGGTATGCGCCCACCATGCCCGCTGTTTTGTTCTATAGTTGGCCAAATTAATTTTTCTCTCTCTCCTCTCTTTTTTTTTTTCCTGAACAAATCTCGCGTTGTTGCCATGCTAGAGTGAGTGCGTGCTCAGCCTAGCCAACAGCAACCTCAACTTGGCTCAAGCAACCCACTGCCCAGCCTCCCAGTAGCTTGACAGGCATGCGCCACCATCCTGGCTAATTTTTTCTATATAACCTTATTGGCCAATTGATTTCTTCTATTTATAGTAAGACGGGTCTCGCTCTTGCTCAGGCCGTTTCGAACTCCTGACTCGAGCAATCGCCTCCTCCGGCCTCCCGAGTGCATAGGATTCATAAGGCATGAGCCACCACACCCGGTTTCTATATTTTTTAGTTGGTCAGCTAATTACTTTTTTTTTTGAGCAGATCATCGCTTTTGTACCCGAGTTGAGTGCCTGGTCGCATAGCTCAAAGCAACCTCAAACCCTGGGCTACAGGCAATCTTCTTTGCCATCAGCCCCGGAACGGACAAGGCAGCACACCAATGCCCGGTAATTTTCTATATAAATGTGAAATCTTTCATTTAAGTGACGGTCTCACCAGCTCAGCGGTTTCGAAGTCCTGACCCTCGACATCGCCCGCCTCAGCTCCCGTCAGGAATTCAGCGTGGAAGCCACGCGCCACGTCTTTATATTTTAGAGAAAGACCAGATGTTCTTCATCTGCTCAGGCTGCTCAACTCCCCGACCTCCCAGAGTTGCAGGATAAGGCGGAGCCACCGTGCCCAGCTAGAACCATTAATCCATGTACATACTCATTTAATGTGTCGTCTCATCAGAATATAACCCAAAAGGCGATTTTTGTTTTATTTGACTAAGTATCCTTCCAACAGTGAAGTCTCAATAATATGTGAAGAATGATACAGAGAACTTTACTAACTTATTATAAACAAGACATACTTGCCATATTAAACCAAACCCCTAAGCCAGAGTATATATTGGACTTAGGAATATGACTGAAATGAGTAGGCTTGAAACAGAGGGAAAAATGAACAAAGCGTGTTTTGGGTTAAAATAAGGTTAAAACAACTCTAAGAATCGGGATTGAAAGATGATGTAGTAAAGATAATACCATGAAAAGGAGCTATAGTTCATAAAAATTTGGAAAGAAAAGAACTTTTGTCATTTCTTTGCCCCAGATGATGAATCAGCCCGCGTGGCCATGCCGTAATCGCACTTCTGGGAGCCGAGGCGCATGGGTTCAGCATTCAAACCACCTGAGCAATGAGCGGACGCCTACTTATTAAATAAAAGATAAGGCCACTAATAATATAGAAAACCAGCATGCGGCGCATGCTTGTGTCCAGCACGGAGCGAGCCAAAGGATGCCTGAGCCCAGGTGGGTTGCGTGAGCTAGCGAACGCACGGCAGTCCATACCGAACAAGCGAGACTCTTCAAAAAAGAATGAACAATGAAGCAACAGAATCTCCTTTAACGCTAACCTCGGAACTGTGGCTCCAGATGTATGCTTATTCAGAATTTCAGCCAGCTTCGTGATGGTGGTCATGCCAGTTTGTGTGTTCATCGCGGTCTCTTGCAGGGAGGAACCAGGTAAGAGAGTGGGGAGACATGACATGAACCGGCTCTGAAGGCATCAGAAAAGGACTATGGGCCCCTCTTGGGATGACCAGTTTGAAGAGACAAGTGAATACTGCAACATATACTGGAAGAGTTCCCCAGGCTCCGGCGTTGCACAGCCATGATAAGTCAGGAATGCCAAAGGTCACTTCATTATGAGCCTCACGACATTACAGAGGTACAATAAGTCTTACCCAGGGATCTTGCGCCTACCCAACCTCTAGCACTTTGTCCAAGAACAAGGCACTAACCCGCTTCAGTAACACCAAGTAGAAGAGCTTCATGTATCACTGAGGAAACCAATAGCCCTCAGCCTGTAAAGGGGAAAATAAAGGACAGGCAGTGCAGTATCTAGGCAGAGTCAAAGATGCAGGCTTGAGGGAGAAGTAATGGGATGGAAAGCAATGTTGGACCACGTCGGCTGATCATTCAGCACACATGCGGTACCTGCATCCGATGCACGGATGGACGAAGACTAGCCGCCAGGAAATGAAGACAACTCAACACCACAA